GGGAGACAGGGGACATCCTTACACCATAACCTTATAGCTGCAGTTATAAAATACACTGTGTGTGGGGAGACAGGGTACCTCCTTACACCATAACCTTATAGCTGCAGTTATAATACACTGTGTGCGGGTAGACAGGGGACCTCCTTACACCATAACCTTATAGCTGTAGTTATAATACACTGTGAGCGGGGAGACAGGGGACCTTATAGCTGCAGTTATAATACATGGTGTGCGGGGAGACAGGGGACCTCCTTACACCATAACCTTATAGCTGCAGTTATAATACACTGTGTGCGGGTAGACAGGGGACCTCCTTACACCATAACCTTATAGCTGCAGTTATAATACACTGTGTATGGGAGGCAGGGGACCGCCTTACACCATAACCTTATAGCTGCAGTTATAATACATGGTGTGCGGGGAGACAAAGGACCTCCTTACACCATAACCTTATATCGGCAGTTATAATACACTGTGTGCGGGGAGGCAGGGGACCTCCTTACACCATAACCTTATAGCTGCAGTTATAATACACTGTGTGTGGCAGGCAGGGGGACCTCCTTACACCATAACCTTATAGCTGCAGTTATAATACACTGTGTGGGAGGCAGGGGGACCTCCTTACACCATAACCTTATAGCTGCAGTTATAATACACTGTGTATGGGATGCAGGGGACCTCCTTACACCATAACCTTATAGCTGCAGTTATAATACACTGTGTGCGGGAGACAGGGGACCTCCTTACACCATAACCTTATAGCTGAAGTTATAATACACTGCGTGGGGAGACAGGGGACCTCCTTACACCATAACCTTATAGCTGCAGTTATAATACACTGTGTGCGGGGAGACAGGGGACCTCCTTACACCATAACCTTATAGCTGCAGTTATAATACACTGTGTGCAGGGAGACAGGGGGACCTCCTTACACTATAACCTTATAGCTGCAGTTATAATACACTGTGTGCGGGGAGACAGGGGACCTCCTTACACCATAACCTTATAGCTGCAGTTATAATACACTGTGTGCGGGAGGCAGGGGGACCTCCTTACACCATAACCTTATAGCTGCAGTTATAATACACTGTGTATGGGAGGCAGGGGACCGCCTTACACCATAACCTTATAGCTGCAGTTATAATACACGGTGTGTGGGAGGCAGGGGACCTCCTTACACCATAACCTTATAGCTGCAGTTATAATACACTGTGTGGGTAGACAGGGGACTTCCTTACACCATAACCTTATAGCTGCAGTTATAATACATGGTGTGCGGGGAGACTGGGGACCTCCTTACACCATAACTTAATAGATGCAGTTATAATACATGGTGTGCGGGGAGACAGGGGACCTCCTTACACCATAACCTTATAGCTGCAGTTATAATACATGGTGTGCGGGGAGACAAAGGACCTCCTTACACCAACCTTATAGTTGCAGTTATAATACACTGTGTGCGGGGAGACAGGGGACCTCCTTACACCATAACCTTATAGCTGCAGTTATAATACACTGTGTGCGGGGAGACAGGGGACCTCCCTTACACCATAACCTTATAGCTGCAGTTATAATACACTGTGTGCGGGGAGACAGGGGACCTCCTTACACCATAACCTTATAGCTGCAGTTATAATACACTGTGTGCGGGTAGACAGGGGACCTCCTTACACCATAACCTTATAGCTGTAGTTATAATACACTGTGTGCGGGGAGACAGGGAACCTCCTTACACCATAACCTTATAGCTGCAGTTATAATACATGGTGTGCGGGGAGACAGAGGACATCCTTACACCATAACCTTATAGCTGCAGTTATAGTACACTGTGTGCGGGGAGGCAGGGGGCCTCCTTACACCATAACTTTATAGCTGCAGTTATAATACACTGTGTGTGCAGGGTGACAGGGGACCTCCTTACACCATAACCTTATAGCTGCAGTTATAGTACACTGTGTGTGGGAGGCAGGGGACCTCCTTACACCATAACCTTATAGCTGCAGTTATAATACACTGTGTGTGTGGAGACAGGGGACCACCTTATAGCTGCAGTTATAATACACTGTGTGTGCAGGGAGACAGGGGACCTCCTTACACCATAACCTTATAGCTGCAGTTATAATACACTGTGTGCGGGGAGACAGGGGACCTCCTTACACCATCTCCTTATAGCTGCAGGTATAATACACGGTGTGTGCAGGGAGACAGGGTCCTCCTTAAACCATAACCTTATAACTGCCATTATTATAACACCACGTGCAGGGGACCACTTACACCAGTTTATCTTCTATTTATATCTACAGGTATAATACACCGTATAGCTCCAATTATAACACACATACAATACATATTTTGATACAATAAGCTGTTCTAGTGCCTAAATGTCCATTTCATGTATTACCATCATTTATTATATCCAATCTAAAATTGTTTGGAAGGCAACTTTTTGGTAATGTAGGTTTGGGTTTAAAAATCTGAATAGCTCCATTAAAACCACCTGCCTGATATCGTGTAGGTCCCCCTCTTGCTACCAAAACAGCTCTGACGCATTGAGGAATGGACCCCACAAGACCTCTGAACTTGTCCTGTGGTATCTGATACCAAGACATTAGCGGCAAATCCTTTACGTCAGCACATTCCACAGATGCTCAATCGGATTGAGATCTGTGGAATTTGGAGGCAAAGGTAACATCTGAACTTTTTGTCATGTTGCTCCAAAAATTTCTGAACAATTGTTACAGAATGGCAGGGTGCACTATCCTGCTGAAAGAGGCCTCTGCTATAAGGGAACACCATTGTCTGCAACAATCTGTAGGCAGGTTGTACGTGTCAAACTCAAACAACATTCACATGAATGCCAGGATTTAAGGTTTCCAAGCAGAACATTGCCCAGAGAATAACACTGCGTTCTTCCCATAGTGCATCCTGTTGCCATCTCTTCCCCAGGTAAACGACCGCACACGCAGCCAGCCATCCATCCACCTGATCTAAATGAAAATGTGATTCATCAGACCAGGCAACCTTCTTCCATTACTCTATGGTCCAGTTCTGATGCTCACATTACCACTGAAGGCACTTCTGGTGGACAAGTGTCATCATGGACATGCTGACCTGTCTCTGGCTACGCAGCCCCATATGCAGCAAACTGTGATGCACTGTGTTCTGACACCTTTCTATCATGGCCAGCAGTAAGTTTTAAGCTACAGTTACTCTTCTATGTGATCGGACCAGATGGGCTAGCCTTTGCTCCCCACATGCATCAATGAGCCTTGGGCACCCATGTTTGTCCTTCCTTGCACCACTTTTGGTAGGTACTAACCACTGCATACCGGGAACACCCCGCTTTTCCATTTTGGAGATGTTCTGACTCAGTCATCTAGCTTTATGGTTCTTGTCAAAGTAACTTGAATTTTATCGTTGTTCCTGCTTTCACATGAAATTCAACGACTGTTTACTTGCTGCCTACTATATCCCACCTCTTGACAGGTGCCATTGGAACGATATCAATGTAATTCACGTCTCCTCTTAACGGTTTTAATGCTGTGACTGATCAGTGTATATTTAGCTTTGACTAAAGAAAAAAAAAAAAAAAAAAAAGCTATTGCAGGGTGATATTCCCTTTGGATACCAGTGTCTAATTTAACAAATCATGGTTATGGAGTTAATTCAATAAACTGTGTATTGCAAAATGTAGGCCAAAATACTGAGCTGTACAATGTTTCCTATTGCAGCTCTTTTGGTGTAAATTCTGTAATTTCATTTTCAATTTGCTACTAATCACCATTTAAAACTAAATTTGCTTAAAATGGTTGAATACAAGTTCCCAAATCTCAGGACAGGCAGACTGGCCATCTTCTACATGAAACATGGTGGACGTTTCAATCCTATTTATAGAACAAGGATTTCCCAAGGACTAGATTGGTGTGACTGGGGAAAACCAGTTTATGTATATAACAATCCCAACCACACACTTCAGCAAAGATAACTTTCTTAGAAGATTTTTTTTTTTTTTTTTCCACAAAACAAAAACGGAACCATCTGTGACATTTTATGAACATTAGCTGAGCCCACACTGTAAGCAGATCATTAATAGATAGTGGGTCTATGAAAGTCACGTGTTTATTAAAGGAACACTCCAAGTACCATAATCACAACAGCCTGCTGTAGTAAATAGTCCAACTGTTTAAGAACGGTTTGCCACTTACATTGGATCCACCTGGTCTCCTGGAAGGAACTTGTGTTTGCTGTACCACACTAAGCCTTTTGAGTGCATTCAACAAGTGCACTCAGGCTTAGCTCAGTACAGGTGCTTCCAGAGGCAGTGGAGACAAAGTCACCTAGGGGATCTCGGGTAAGTTGTCATACCATGCTTAAATGGTTTGACTACTTACAATGGGGGAGTGCCGGGCACTCCTGACCCCATAACCTCTAAACAGACTGTTACTTTCAGTAAACAGCAGATTGTTGTGAATTAGAAATTCAACTACAAAATTAATATTGCCTAAAAGCAGCCATACTGTGACTACAGCAGAGTTGGATATTTTACTTTTCAAATCATTTTTTTTTGCCTACATTTTGCAAGCCGGTGTTTAGTAAATAAACCAGAGTCTCTCAGAAGGTGAGGGCCTGGACCATCAATGCAAGTACTGCACGTCCTGGGTTTGCCAATAGGAAGAAACTCCTGAATGAGATTCACTGTAAGCAGCCTGGGACATTGGGAGGCAAGCTCCCTAACAGTCACATGGCACTGCCAGAGCACAAGGCAGCAGCTTCCATGAATCAAACGCAGCCTAGTGAACCCTATAAAGGCCACCCTTCCTCCTAGAACCCCGATTGAGTGATTCTTTGCCAGAATCCTGCATTTGGAACAGACAAAACATTTCATTGGCTCCCGTGGAGGTTACTGCACACATATGTTTTTACTCCATAACCCACATAGATCACTCCTTTAACTCTCCCCAGTCAACAGCAGTGAAGCATTAAATGGGATGAGGAGTGCACCATATTCATTTATTTTGAAACTCCTGTGTTAAATAGGAAAAGAGGAACACAAGATTCATATATATATATAGAAATAATTCACTGTGATTTCTCACATTAGTAAATAAGTGTCAGGATTATTCACAAAGTGAGAACGTCTCTAAGTCTGCTATCCTTCAAGGTCGGCTACCTTGGCCTAAAATGTGAAGTTAAGGTAATAACCTTGTTAATGCATTTAGTCAATTCTCCATAATTCTCAGTTTAGTGAAGGAAATGATACAGGACACATTACGAGGCAGAGAGAGTCCGATACAGGGTTATTTGCCAACACATGGATTGTCAGGAATTCAAAGTAAAGATCAGGATTTAGTTTATGAGTCACACTGAAAATATAGCAAATTTGGAGAATTATTTTCAATTTGGTTATTTTACCTGAACATTTGAAATGTACTTTGAATTCCAGACAATTCCCTAGAACCAGACATTTTCAGGTGTTTCTCCCAGAAACTGATCTTTGTGAAGAGCTATTGGAAATTCAGACAACTCGACACTTTAACCCACGATAATATCCATTTAAACAAATTGTTCATGCATTATTATTCTTTATTTATAATACTTTTTTTTTTTTTATTCATAGATAAAGATATGTAACTTTGGGGAGATGTGGATCACTTTAAAGCAAAAAAAATATTTGTAGCAAAACAAATTAGTGGACGTAATATATTCGAACAGGAATATAAAGTTTATTTGAAATACCTATAATACAATGAATACACCCCATCAGCCACCTGGTTAGGGGTGTTTGGCGTGGGGGGGGGGGGCCTAGATTCTGCATCTTCTCAATTCAAGGTTGGGCAACTAAAAGGTAACATTTAAACTAATAACCTGGGTCCTCCATGTAAAGCCAGCCTTACGTGTCCTCTCTCCATAATGAATCCACTTTAAATACAGCTTCTATTCTGCTGTAACTGCTGAAATATGCAAGCTTGCCTTGATGCCAGACTACCCAGTACACCGAACCAGTCCCTTTCAATCTATCATGACCTTTTCCCATTTTATGTCAGGAAGTTTCATGAAACTTAAAGGTTTAAACCCTGTATCACAATCTAGACCTGCAAAACTCCCCTTACCCCTTCTAATAATCTCCTAATCAAACTCAAGCTGAATTCTGATTAGAAAATTCCCATCCAATAGCACCACAGGACCCACCCGTGTTGGCAATTTGTTAATCATAATGGCTTTTGCAAACAGTCCTCCCCCCAACTGGTTGTTTATTTCCATCATATTGCCTGGAAACAAAACTTAAGCAATTTCCTCTTGTCCATGTCACTACCAAAGACCATTAGGGATTTGTGCAATACTTAAAGACCATGCTGATCAAAGCACCTTTTGTAAGTGCTTCAGAGGGAAAGTAAACTGTAATATTGATTAAAATATATAGCATTAGCAAAGTATTACAAGGAACATCTTCCTATGTCTTTCTTTAAAGTGAGCTGGTTCACACCAAATGCATTCCAATCCAGTTCACAAAAAAAAAAAATAATAATTCTGTTCAACAAAAATCCTTGACGCATATTGAAAATGATTTAATGTATAATGGCGCTGGTACAGGCCAATATCTCATCACACACATCTGGATTGTGGATTTGCTCAAAATATGTTTAGTGCGAGAAGCAGAAATCAGCGGAGGGTGATGAATGAGTTAAATGAAGTTTTTCTATGCACGCATGGTGTATATGTCAATGTATTCCAAGGTTCCAATGGTCGATCAGGGCTGCAGTGTTCTCCAATGCAGGATCCAGCACAAGGGCCTTATTCAGGTCCCTGGCACTCCATGGCATTCTGCTGTTCAGACAGGAGCTCGCTTGATTGGATGACTTGTTCCGTGTGCCAGGTGGCTGGGGTGCTGTATTGATGATAGAAGTCTGTGTCTGCCTGGAACATGACGAGAGCCTGCGCAGTGTGTATCCGTACATGTTGGGCTAAGCTATTGGCGTCGAGAAATTTATCACCACAGGAGTCACAAGCATAGAGAATCTGAGTGTGGGGATCTGTAAGGAAGAAGAAAATACATTCAGCAATTTAGAGTTTACATCTATTATGTGATCCTACAGCAGAGTTATGTAGTCATGAAAAACAATGGGATGTTTCTGTTGAGTGATCGAGTTTTAGAACTTTACCTAGAACTGTTCCGAACACAGATCTCCCATTGTGTCAGCCAGAGTGTTCAGTAAATAAACTAAAGAAAGACATAGACTGAGGACACCCTGTTCAAACCTTGTTCCCGTGATGTCACTAACATGACCTCAGATTCATTAATACATCTATACATTTCCGTTATGTAGGTTCTCTTTGAAATGTAACAAGGTTTGGAAAGAATATTCTGCCTGGCGATGACTTGCTGCCGAGCAGAGTTTTTTTTCGGACAGGTATGTGCTGCTCCGAATTGATACAAGCAATAGGTTAACATGAATTCTAGGTTATTTTTAATGTTTTACTCAATGCTGCTCCCTTTTAACGACCAGAAATGGTTATTTTCATTCTCTCTCATGCTAGAAGCAAGACGCCCATTCCTCTTTGTTTTGACTGCAGTTATCATAGAGCAGGTATGGCATCATAAAATCGCAAAGCCCGGAAAACTCAGAAAGAAAATGGAGTTACAAAAGAAAAAATGATTTGACAGAGAAAAAATTGATCAAAGACCAACTCTGCAAGGTGCAGACTCACAGTTAAAATTCCTGCTTTTTGCACAATTTCCTACGATTACCTGCTTCCTGCACCTGTTTCACAGCCTTGGTGATCTCTGCTTTAAGTGCTTCAGTCTCATCAGCCGTCTCAGAGTCAGTGACAGGAACCACTGGAAATATAGTAGAGATAACTCATTATCACAACTTAAGGGTGGTCTCTGGTGTGTAAATGAGTTTCATTGGAGCCTGAAAACCCAGAGAGGTTTCCAACCCATAACTCCCCTCACCAGTCAGTTCTGTGACTGCTCCTTCCTCCAGGCCTTCTGCATCTAACTCGACCATGTCACCTGTCACAGTCACAATACTGAGCTCGTCATCGTCATCTAGCTCATCATCATCATCGTCCCTTAATTTCATGCCAGCCTTGCCCTTGTGCACTGTTCTTACGTGGGAACGCAAATTGTCCACGCGATTAAAGCCACGCCCACACTTATCGCACAGGTACGGTTTCTCTCCTAAATGAGCAAAACATTTACAAATCTTTTGGGTTTAGCCATTGGACGAACTTTAACATTTCTAGCAGTTTTAGTAAATCCATACAATTGGAAAGAGTAACCAACAGAAACCAACCCATATTTCCAAGGACCCCACTCACCAGTGTGAATAATGACATGTTTGGTCAGGTCTCCAACATTGACAAAAGCTTTGCCACAAACATTGCACTTGTGAGGCCGAATGTTGTCGTGATGGCGAATGTGATTGGCGAGCTGACTGGACTGAACAAAGCTGTATAAGAGAATATACAAAGGGTTAATACCAGCCCAAGTGATGTAGTGAATACAAGATTTCAACATATGACATTCATCTTTGTTCAGGAGCTAAAGAAAAGTCCTCAGCAAAGTTCTAGAGCCATCAGTCTGCATTGTCCAGGATTGCAGGGGGCACAATCATCAGTTACAAGAATCAAGTCTCACAGTGTGTCCCGGCGGCTCACAAGGACCGCAGTGTGTCCCAGCCGCTCACAAGGACCGCTGTGTGACCCAGCCGCTCACAAGGACCGCAGTGTGACCCAGCCGCTCACAAGGACCGCAGTGTGACCCAGCCGCTCACAAGGACCGCAGTGTGACCCAGCCGCTCACAAGGACCGCAGTGTGACCCAGCCGCTCACAACTCTCGCAGTGTGACCCAGCCGCTCACAACTCTCGCAGTGTGACCCAGCCGCTCACAACTCTCGCAGTGTGACCCAGCCGCTCACAACTCTCGCAGTGTGTGACCCAGCCGCTCACAACTCTCCCAGTGTGACCCCCGCTCACAACTCTCACAGTGTGACCCAGCAGTGTGACCCAGCCGCCACAACTCTCACAGTGTGACCCAGCCGCACAACTGCCAGCCGCTCACAACTCACAGTGTGACCCAGCCGCTCACAACTCTCACAGTGTGACCCAGCCGCTCACAACTCTCACAGTGTGACCCAGCCGCTCACAACTCTCACAGTGTGACCCAGCCGCTCACAACTCTCAGTGTGACCTAGCCGCTCACAACTCTCACAGTGTGTCCCAGCTGCTCACAAGTCTCTCAATGTGTCCTAGCTGCTCACCTTAGCCTTCAGTTCCAACACTCCAAGAGTCAAAGGGTGCTCTAGCCTCACAACACTAGGTTTCACAAGGGGCTCTCATTCCAGATCTCAATGGGAGTCATAGCTGTAAGTTGCAAGCCTCTGTCTCGTATCTCTCTCATTGACTCACCTTTTCCCACAACGTTCACACACATATGGTTTCTCTCCCGTGTGTTTACGGACATGGGCAATCAGTGAACTCGCCTGAGTGAATGCTTTCCCACAGATCATGCAGAGACATGGCTTCTCACCTTATGAATAAAGGAAAAGGAACCAAAATTGGTAAATGGAGGATAAAACAATTCTCATATAATAAGTACTAAGAAAAAATGAAGACAGCAAGAAAAACATCAAAATTACAAGTCATTGCACTGCTAACATGCACTATTTAACAAACATTACTCTGAGCCAAGTTACCTGTGTGGGTTCGAATATGACGCTGTAGCGCACCAGGATCAGCAAACTGACGCTTGCAGTGTATACAAACATATGGTTTCTCCCCACTGTGGATGCGAAGGTGTCTCTTCAAATTTCCTGCAGGAGGTGGATACAAGGGGGGAAAAGAAGGGTATTTCCTAGTGTAATAGTATCTAGATTTGGAGAAGTGGACATGTAGAGACATGGGAGAAAAGGGCAGTCCAGATATCAACAACCGTCTGGCTATGGCGCGTTGGGAAATCACACGGGTGGTGATGGCTCTCAGGGACACATTACCTGTGGTGGTAAACTGCTTTCCGCACTCTCGACACTTCAGGGGTCCGTCAGCAATGTGGACCTTTAGGTGAGCTTTTAGGTTACCAAGCTGCAAAGGACAGTCCACAAATTAGCCCTAAACCATCATGTTCACTGACAGCAAGTCTTTGCTAACATTTGAAGAAACTGGATTTTACTCACTTGGTTAAACTTCTTGTCACAGTGAGGACACTTGTGCTCTTTGTTGGTGTCATGAGTCTCCAAGTGGCGCATCTTCGAGGTAGGGTCGGAGAATGGCCGGTTGCAGTACTCACACATATAGGGTTTCTCTCCACTGTGGACCAGGTAATGCCTTTTAAGGTTGCCAGATGTGGTGAACATTTTGTTGCAGTCCTTGCACTGGAATTGTGGTTCCCCTAAATGGCGCTTCTTGTGCATGTTCAGGAGGCTGATAAGCCGATAACTCTTTCCACAATCCTCACAACCATGTGGCTTCAAGGGGCTGTGGGCAGAGGAAATTAAAATAACTGCTCCAGGCAAAGGCTATTGTTGATGAAGTTAGATATCTGCCAGGAAATAAAAGCCTATGTAGAAACCACAAGAATGGATTACCTATGTGTTTTCTCATGCGCTTTGCAGGCTGCGGGGTCGGAGAAGGCTTTCTTACACTCTTGGCACGAGAAGGGTTTCTCTCCGGTGTGGGTACGCACGTGCCTGGTGAAGTTTCCAGTGTGCGTAAAAATTTTACCACAGTACTGTAATGAGCACATAACTCATTAGGGATTAATAACTGTGATTCAGAATCTGATGCAATGACTGATGTGCAGTTTGACTCACCTGACATTTGTGGGTGGTAGAACCATAGGTCCGTGACTCACTGCGATCTCCGTAAGTAAATGTTGCTACTCGCATGTGCTGGTACCTCGCTGAGGTAGCCTGATCGGAGTTTGTGGAAGAAGATTCATTCTCATCTACCCCCTCTCCATTGTCCATCTCATCATGTTCTCTGCTCGCTACATGGCATATGTCTTGTCGTGGAGATCGCCGCTCAACAGGTAAAGACAAATTATCTTCATCTTGCTCGCAAGTCAACTCCAAGCCAGGGTGGGCATCAGATGATTGGACCTGTTTCTGCTCTTGTGGCTTTTCTGCCAAAGGACTGCCCTGAGCAGATGACGCTTGCCAAGTGGTGAGATTCACAGAATCCTCTCCTTTGACACTCACCTCCTTGTTTGTAACATCTGCAAGATATATACATAAATGTTTTCAGAACCTGTTTTTCCCAATTATCTAACCCAGCGCTGTCCAACCTGTGCCCCCCCAGATGTTGCTGAACTACAACTCCCATGATTCCCTGGCTGTTTCATTGAAAGAATCATGGGAGTTGTAGTTCGGCAACATGTGGGGGGCCGCAGGTTGGACAGGCCTGATCTAACCCTATCCCTGAGCTCTTTTATAACAAACAATTCACCAGGCACACAGATTATTCATAGCATACAGTAGTACATCCCTCTTCATGTATTAAGTCACTCTCCTAGTTCTTAAACAGAAAAGCAATTATACACAACTCGCTATATTACAATAACTCCATACCAAAAGTGTTAGAATATCAAACTGACATCCTAAATTGGACATCCCTCTACGCACCCAGCTGTGAGCCATTCAGTGCTGGCTCCTCCATGTCACTGTCCTCAGGAATGTCTCTTTTCGGCTCACTTTCATCTCCTTTGCTTACACTGCTGCCTGAAGACGACACATAGGAACGTACATTGGCATTACAAAGACAGATTAAAGGGGAATTTTGAACATTCTGTTTACCTATACCCTAGATTTAACAAATATGTTTGTATGAGGTCTGAAAAATTTAATAAACTTTAGAAATCCACACATCTATCCTGAAACTGGGGTCTCCATCATAGTTCCCTGTTAATCAGCATTATAAAAAGTTGCCCAAAGAGAGGAAGAACTTAAATATTGCATCTGTTCCTCGTCATTTGTATTGTGTACCCTGGCTGCTCCTAGACTGAACTGCATTGTGGTGCTACATGCTTTATTTTTTAGTTATATTTTAAAATAAAATGGCTCATTACATGGAATAAAGATGAACACAATTTCTAAAAGATGTTCAATGTTTTTTTCAATGGTGTAATCTTAAGAGAAGTGACAGTCTGCTTTAAGCTAACACACACTATGGTTCAACTATACTAACTCCATCAAACCTTTTCTATGTATGTAGATGCAAAGATTCAGTATTGAAGTGTGCCTATAACTCCTAATGAGACTTGGTATCACTTTAAACATTGTAGGTGTACATTCTACAAGCAAATAGTTGGCAGACGTACAAATGAAAACCTTATTTTGGATTTCTTGGGACTAACTGCTGTCACTGGCACTGTATGTCATCTCATTATTCCAGCAGGGGGATCAGTATCTAAATTTTGATTATAGCTTTATCACTCACCCTCTGCTGAGGCTCCTTCATTTCCCTTTGCACGTTTGAATGACGCTGGGACTGTGACTCTAGCTTCTACTATCACCCCAGCTTCCCCAGCTGGAGCTGACAAACTTCCTTCTATATGAAGAAGACCTCCTGAGGATGAAGAAATCAAATGGAGAATAAAGTTAATTCCATAGTCCGGCCAAAATGGACGGAATATAATCAAAGACAAACCCAAATTCACGTCCCTCGGGATAAACACCCAAATTTCCAATGTCCATTTATCACATGGAGTACGCAATGTGCATACAATGATACTTGGCTTTGTATTTAACCAGTGTCATATGAGGAAGTTAGGATATAGATGTGGACGTAGGACTCTACCTTGGCTTGCTGTGAGAGTTCCCAGGCTGTTAGAATCACTCCCCGTTGGAATGCTGAGAGATTTCAGAGCTGTACATGCGTTGACAATCTCTTGCATCTGCAAAAAGCCAGCCACAGCCAGTACATCCTCCACGTTTTCCCTAGTCAGGCTAAGACGAGCCGTGTACATAAATTCCAGAACGTGACCGAGACCTAAGACAAGTAGAAGTGTTAGAAACACATGGAAAAGCTGCAATAAACTATTTAAAAAATAAATAATCAAATAATGCCAGAAACTTTCTAATGCAAAAGGAGATGCATGCTATTAGTGGCTAAATGTAAAGCCTTAATGTACAGAAATGTCACCTGGCATCATTTAACAAGGAATACAATTTCATGTATACATTAGCACATGCAGAGGTGAAAATTACCTTACTTGATTCTACCTCTATGCCAAAACTGTAAAGGCTACAAAACATGGCTCTCACTGGCAGCTGCGTGCACAGCCATCCAGGTGACTAAATGAAGTGGGGATATCCTCAAACTCCGAGAGTCCCCCTACATGCTAGGGATCGAGGGTTGTAATTTGTGTACATTTGAGTGGTTTGTCTGAATCAAATTCCTTTTAAGTCACAGTAGCACAAATTGATCTGCCTGTTATTTACCTGTCTGTATTTCAATGAATAACAACTCCACATGCAAACCTCAGTCTGATCAATTAATTTGGGCATGGTTTTAAAGGAGTTTAATCTGGACAAACCACTTAAAACAAACATTTCTTCTAAGCTTTCCACAAAGTAATTTAACTAGCTGAAGAAACCTTACACATATTTGTAGAAGGGAGGTTTACTTTAAGTAAGCAAACAACATACTTTTAAATCAAATTACCCGGTAACACATCAGAGTACAATACATTTGAATTTAAGAGTCTTTTTGGGCACTCTGATAAGAATGTTTCAGATTAGCAAGCTTTGAGACCATAGTGGGTCTCCAGCTGGCAAACCTCTGCCTTCAAAACAAATACAGAACTCACCAAACTGCAGTCAGTACCTGCTGCGTTGCTTATGTCCAGATGCACCACATCTTTCTGTTCCACAAAGAGCATTCTAAAATACTGGCTACAGGCTGCCAGCACTGCCTTGTGGGCCTTAAAATCAATTCCATCCACCACAAACGTGCAGTCGCATAGCAAGCCAAGCTGCCTCTGTTGGTTCAGCTGCTCTAGAACCAATTGACTGTGCTGAGGAAAATCCATAGCTGAAAAGAGAAGAGACCGAAATATGTGTTTTTATAAAAGTACTCAAAGGAACACTATAGTCACCTAAATTACTTTAGCTAAATAAAGCAGTTTTAGTGTATAGATCATTCCCCTGCAATTTCACTGCTCAATTCAATGTCATTTAGGAGTTAAATCACTTTGTTTCTGTTTATGCAGCCCTAGCCACACCTCCCCTGGCTATGATTGACAGAGCCTGCATGAAAAAAAAAACTGGTTTCACTTTCAAACAGATGTAATTTACCTTAAATAATTGTATCTCGATCTCTAAATTGAACTTTAATCACATACAGGAGGCTCTTGCAGGGTCTAGCAAGCTTTTAACATAGCAGGGGATAAGAAAATCTTAATTAAACAGAACTTGCAATAAAGAAAGCCTAAATAGGGCTCTCTTTACAGGAAGTGTTTATGGAAGGCTGTGCAAGTCACATGCAGGGAGGTGTGACTAGGGTTCATAAACAAAGGATTTAACTCCTAAATGGCAGAGGATTGAGCAGTGAGGCTGCAGGGGCATGTTCTATACACCAAAACTGCTTCATTAAGCTAAAGTTGTTCAGGTGACTATAGTGTCCCTTTAATGCATAACTGTCAACAATATAAACCTGTTTCTGGGCTTGCAAACATAAAGGTATGTGACTGCTTGGATTGACTGACAAGAAGGAAACTCCTGCCATATTCTATTGTTTAGTAATTGTGGGTCAAGAAACTGTACTTTAGAATTCAGCATGCCCCCTGTTACTAAAACTAGGTATTGTCAACTGATGCACTCAGCTTATCAGATCAATCCAAATATGGACAATATCTGTATTGCTAAAGGCCAGCAGCCAGCCGAGTCACCAATTGTTTAGGTCAACATGTTTAAAATAGTTTGATCCAGATTAGGAGAACACCATAACTTCTACAATGGCAAGTAATGGTTATCAGTGTTCCCTCTAAGGTGTGTGCTTGTGCAGGTAGACATCTTTTTGAGGAAGCGCACACATGGTAAGAATTGTTGCAAAGTTTTTTTGACATAAAAAAATGTATCACCCGTCGGCAGGGCCGAGCCTGGGCAGTACATGTGTTGCATCACAACCAGGTGCCAGAAGGTGGGAGGCGCTGCGAGGAGCGAGCCAATGGCCTGTCAAAGAGGGCCAAGGAAATGGCCAGCTTCCACCGTAGGATACCCCCCAAAGCTGGCAATTATCCAGTAATGACGAGAAGGTACCTGCTTACCCCAGATGGCAGGTACCTACTCTGCCGAAATATATACCTGGAAGAGAGAGCAAGCAGTGGCAGTGGCGTGAGGTGTTTACAGATCCTCTCTGCTCCCTCGCACACCATCTGTAGTGATGCCAGACTAGGACGTCACTTCAGCCTCGGCATCACTACAGAGGGCGTGCGAGGAAAATTGGAAAATTTCAGGAAGAAAATCCATTCTCCACTGGGGTGCCACATCAGCTCTCCTAAAGGCAGGGAGGCTGGATGCGCCTAAAAAAACAAACAAAAAAAAAACAAGTGTTTGTGAGTGTGTGCAAGAATGTGTAAATGTGTGTCGTCAGTGTGTTTGTGAGTGAGTGTATGTGCCAGAGTGTTTAAGAAGCATTAATGTGTATGTCACCATTTATTGGGCAAAGAGCTCCTTTTGCAAAGTCTATGGGTGACATGAACTCTCTCTTCATCATCTTATAATATTTGCTATGATTGGGTCAGCTGAATTTGATTTATGTGTAAAAAGCATTATGTATACATCACCATTTATTGGACTGCACTCACTGTTTCTGCTGGAGAATTATTATGTTTGCCCAAATGCAATCAACAAGCTACCAATATTATGTTTTGACTGAATGAAAGGACATTTTATTTTATGGATTATATTGCTATTTAATGTGGGAAGGTGAGGCTGAAGCTTCATGGTAAAATATAAAGGCACCAAGCTGGAATGTTTTTCTTGAACATTTTTAATTGTGTGAACCCTGTCTGTGCAGTTCCCCTTATTGCTTTCTATGGACTGTCTGACAAAGCAAAATGGGAATAAGCAAAGAGGCACGTCTGTCTGAATGGCTGACATTACAGTAATACTGCTGTGTAACTACTAATACTACATCATCACATAGGGTCACCTCCAACCTGCTGTGTGCTTTAAAAATTCAAATATACCAAACATAATGCTCACAAGAAAAGTTAACATGTTTTCTGCAAATATCGTTGTGCAGACTTGGAAAGAGGTGAAAAGATTATTTTAATGGGGAGATGAAAACATGCCACGAAGCCTTGTGAACCTGTATTTAGGGCACATGTGGTACAACAACTACAGAAGCTGAATTATCTCAGGAATGACACTTATAGCAATTCATCTCTCCCACAGACAGACAGACTGCCTCGCTCGCCAAAAACAGAGAGACAGACAGGCCGCCTCAGTCGCCAGTCAGAGACAGACAGACAGGCCGCCTCAGTCGCCAGTCAGAGACAGACAGGCCGCCTCAGTCGCCAGTCAGAGACAAGCCGCCTCAGTCGCCAATCAGAGACAGACAGACAGGCCGCCTCAGTCGCCAATCAGAGACAGACAGACAGGCCGCCTCAGTCGCCAATCAGAGACAGACAGACAGGCCGCCTCAGTCGCCAGTCAGAGACAGACAGACAGACCGCCTCAGTCGCCAGTCAGAGACAGACAGACAGACCGCCTCAGTCGCCAGTCAGAGACAGACCGCCTCAGTCGCCAGTCAGAGACAGACAGGCTGCCTCAGTGGCCAGTCAGAGACAGACAGGCTGCCTCAGTGGCCAGTCAGAGACAGACAGGCTGCCTCAGTGGCCAGTCAGAGACAGACAGGCTGCCTCAGTCGCCAGTCAGAGACAGACAGGCTGCCTCAGTCGCCAGTCAGAGACAGACAGGCTGCCTCAGTCGCCAGTCAGAGACAGACAGGCTGCCTCAGTCGCCAGTCAGAGACAGACAGGCTGCCTCAGTCGCCAGTCAGAGACAGACAGGCTGCCTCAGTCGCCAGTCAGAGACAGACAGGCTGCCTCAGTCGCCAGTCAGAGACAGACAGGCTGCCTCAGTCGCCAATCAGAGACAGACAGGCTGCCTCAGTCGCCAATCAGAGACAGACAGGCTGCCTCAGTCGCCAATCAGAGACAGACAGGCTGCCTCAGTCGCCAGTCAGAGACAGACAGGCTGCCTCAGTCGCCAGTCAGAGACAGACAGGCTGCAGTCGCCAGTCAGAGACAGACAGGCTGCCTCAGTCGCCAGTCAGAGACAGACAGGCTGCCTCAGTCGCCAGTCAGAGACAGACAGGCTGCCTCAGTCGCCAGAGACAGACAGGCTGCCTCAGTCGCCAGTCAGAGACAGACAGACAGGCTGCCTCAGTCGCCAGTCAGAGACAGACAGACAGGCTGCCTCAGTCGCCAATCAGAGACAGACAGACAGGCTGCCTCAGTCGCCAATCAGAGACAGACAGACAGGCTGCCTCAGTCGCCAATCAGAGACAGACAGACAGGCTGCCTCAGTCGCCAATCAGAGACAGGCTGCCTCAGTCGCCAATCAGATACAGACAG